AACATGTGGTACAAACGGGAACTGACATTTATCACGCAAGTCCGTCACTCTCAAACCCTTGATCAAAACTCAAGGCACTATCAATCATTTGGAAGACTCGTCCCAAAATCGTCGGATTCGACAAACTCTGCAGCTCTCCGAATTCTCTGGAAACGGACTGAGCAGCGTTGTGCCAGGGAGTCACGGGCAAGGCACCGTCAATTGCGTGCTGCAGAAAGATCTCTGCAAGCACCTCCTTTTCACTTTGACCGACATATTTGGAGTTGTCTCTCTTCAAAACTGGCTCGTCGTAAACATTCCACCCCATGCTGACAAGAGAGGTCTAAGAACCTTGCTGTGAGCCTCATATATAATCTGCAGAAGGTGCAATCTGACAGTGAACCAGTACACAAACGTCCTCAATCACATCCAACTTGCTCGTGAGTGCCATTACCTGATCTTTCTACTTGAAAGCAACTCATTCAAATCGTCGAATGATTCGCCATCGTTTCTACACAAAAGGACGTGTAAGAAAGGTTTGTAATGCGACAGGTTTGAGGACAGGCATGGCAGCAAAAGATGACATGAGGGCAGAAAGTTACTTGCAGAGCTTTGCAAAGCTGCTTTCCCAGGTCTTTTTCCTGCCAAAATTTGGCTTTCGGGCTGATCTTCAGATTTCAATACGTCCACCAGGCCTTGGCGTCCAACAGAAATCGAACTGCTTCAGCATTTCCGCGGTCCGCGATCGCCAGGGCACTTCGCCCGGTGAATTCCACCTGGTCCTGGCATCCTGGCCATGCAGAATCATTAAGCATATATCTGTAGATTACTACAGGTGTAGGATGATGTTGGTATAAACAAGTATATACAGTTATAATCAGTTATATATATATATACACATGTTATGATGACCAGCAGATAGCTACACCATGAACACTTCAAGAACTCTTTTGATTGAACTCGGATCCTTGTCAGCTCCAGCATCTACCAAGAGACGTATCAATGGAGACTGCATCCGTCTGGCAGCAATGGTCAAGGCTGTCAGCCCTTGCTTATCATGTTGGTTGATATCAGCACGAGCCCTCAGCAAGCATTCCACCATGTGGATGTCTCCATGGTGTGCGGCCACAGTCAAGACGGTCCGGCCATCCTGGAGTGGTTTCTTCGTGTCAGCACCAAATTCGATCAACGTGGTCCTGCAGCCTGCAGGGCTCCACAGCAACCATCAAGGGAGACCATCCAGCCTCGCAGTCAGCCCTGTGCTCCAGGAGAAAGGAGACCACTTCGCTATGCCCTGCCTCACATGCCTTAAAAAGGGGCGTTGCCCCATCTTGATTCTGACAGTTGGGATCCTGAAACTTCTTCAGAATCCTGCAGGCAGGGGTTGGGAAAAATCTATATAAATATGTGTAAATCTGTGTATGTAAATGAATGTAAATGAATGTAAATGAATGTAAATGTATGTAAATGTATGTAAATGGATGTAAATGTATGTAAATGTATGTAAATGGATGTAAATGGATGTAAATGTATGTAAATGTATGTAAATGGATGTATATGGATGTAAATGTATGTAAATCTATGTAAATCTATGTAAATCTATGTAAATCTATGTAAATGATTGTATATGGATGTAAATGTATGTAAATGGATGTCAATGTATGTAAATGTATGTAAATCTATGTAAATGATTGTAAATGTATGTAAATCTATGTAAATCTATGTAAATGTATGTAAATGGATGTAAATGGATGTAAATGGATGTATGGATGTCAATGGATGTCAATGTATGTAAATGTATGTAAATCTATGTAAATGATTGTAAATGTATGTAAATGGATGTAAATGGATGTAAATGTATATAAATCTATGTAAATCTATGTAAATCTATGTAAATCTATGTAAATGATTGTAAATCTATGTAAATGTATGTATATGTATGTAAATGTATGTAAATGTATGTAAATGTATGTAAATGTATGTAAATGTATGTAAATGTATGTAAATGTATGTAAATGTATGTAAATGGATGCAAATGTATGCAAATGATTGTAAATCTATGTAAATCTATGTAAATGTATGTAAATGGATGTAAATGGATGTAAATGGATGTAAATGTATGTAAATGTATGTAAATGAATGTAAATGTATGTGAATGTATGTAAATGGATGTAAATGTATGTATATGTATATGTATGTAAATGTATGTAAATCTATGTAAATCTATGTAAATCTATGTAAATGTATGTAAATCTATGTCAATGTATGTAAATGTATGTAAATGCAAATAAATGGATGCAAATGAAATGTACATGTATGTCAATGTATATCAATGTATGTCAATGTATGTCAATGTATGTAAATGTATGTAAATGTATGTAAATCTATGTAAATCTATGTAAATGAATGTAAATCTTTGTAAATGTATGTAAATGTATGTAAATGGATGCAAATGTATGCAAATGATTGTAAATCTATGTAAATCTATGTAAATGTATGTAAATGGATGTAAATGGATGTAAATGGATGTAAATGTATGTAAATGTATGTAAATCTTTGTAAATGTATGTAAATGTATGTAAATGGATGCAAATGTATGCAAATGATTGTAAATCTATGTAAATCTATGTAAATGTATGTAAATGGATGTAAATGGATGTAAATGGATGTAAATGTATGTAAATGTATGTAAATCTTTGTAAATGTATGTAAATGTATGTAAATGGATGCAAATGTATGCAAATGATTGTAAATCTATGTAAATCTATGTAAATGTATGTAAATGGATGTAAATGGATGTAAATGGATGTAAATGTATGTAAATGGATGTAAATGTATGTAAATGTATGTAAATGTATGTAAATGGATGTAAATGTATGTATATGTATATGTATGTAAATGTATGTAAATCTATGTAAATCTATGTAAATCTATGTGAATGTATGTAAATCTATGTAAATCTATGTAAATGATTGTAAATGATTGTAAATGATTGTAAATCTATGTAAATGTATGTAAATGTATGTAAATGATTGTAAATGATTGTAAATGATTGTAAATCTATGTAAATGTATGTAAATGTATGTAAATGGATGTATATGGATGTAAATGTATGTAAATCTATGTAAATCTATGTAAATCTATGTAAATCTATGTAAATCTATGTAAATCTATGTAAATGATTGTATATGGATGTAAATGTATGTAAATGTATGTAAATCTATGTAAATGATTGTAAATCTATGTAAATGTATGTAAATGGATGTGAATGTATGCAAATGTATGTAACTGTATGTCATATAAATGTCCTCTTTTGGTGATTTTAAACATCACCAAGCAAGATGCTTCTTTGGTATTTTCTGTGATTTCCCTTTCATCCTGATCTGACATCATTCCTGTCCTGTTGACCTGCTGGATGTCCCCATCTGCCATAGCCAAGAAAAGAGTCTCCGAGGCTCCCCCAACTGCATCCAGCTTCGACCTTCCGACAAGAGCTGGTCATCTGCCAGGAATGTCACCTCGTTCACGGCGAAACGGGTGCTTCTTGGGTCGGAAAGAAAACAGAGGTGACACCGGTGACACCTTTCCGCAGAATTGGGATCATCCCAGGTTGGGATGGTATCTTGAAAACAAATGAAACATACTGAAACCACCACGCAGTCACTTTGCAGGGGACTCCTTGGCGCAGCCGGTGAGTCAAGTCTTTGAGGAAGTCAGTGGATTGCCGCAGCCCTGTTTCTGGCCATTGACTTTTGCAATGCAGAGATCCACTCATCGCTGAGAACACTTCAATCTCAATGGGTCCGTTGACAGCCCCCTGGTCCAATGACTCAGCATCATACTCTTCCATGTGGAGAAATGATGATCTGCCCGCCAGGTACAGCAAAGGACATCTCAAGAAGTGAACTCAACTGTGGTCTTGGAATGTCTTGGAATGTCTTGGAATGTCTTGGAATGTCTTGGAATGTCTTGGAATGTCTTGGACGGCTTCACGGGGCTCCCACAACCCACTTTCTTCAACGTAGGGTTGATTCGTCTGAGCCAGGCTTTGGTGATTGGTGTTTGTGGGGGGGATTCCCCGTTCATGCTTTTTGATCATATAAATTATAAGATGAGCCCGAAATATGTTAAGTGCTACAACACTGCTATAACCCCCGCAAAACAATTATACTATCTGTAATCATCAACCAACACCAGGGCTTTTAAAACTGCTCAGAAACTGCTCAGATATCTACGTCTGCAAATCCTCGAAGGCGGCTCAAACCGCTCAAAACTCTCACAACTTGTCACCGCAGGTTGACCACATCTCCGATAGGTTTCAACATGTTTCAACCCATCACCAAAATTGACTCATTATGATCATCCCACATATGGCTGCAAAATCATGGATATTCAACACCACCAACTAGTTATACAATGGTATAAATACTTATATCAGTCAGTTGTATCCTCATTAAATGGGTTTCAAACATCTTTAAGCTATTTTAAACCAGCAATCACTTCGTCACATCCTTTTTGTTCTCTCAAGCTTTGGGATTCGACAGCTTTACCTGGCAGGATGGCACATGGCAGGACACTGGAGGGCGTTCAACAGCGTGGGGTGTCGGTTTTTCTGCGTTGTTTCGCTGATTTTTGGGTGAGACAAGTCCGGGCTTGTGCCAAGGCAGGGACCCTAGGCAAACCTCTCAAAATCAATGAATTCAAAGCTGTTGGCTCCTCCTGTGGGCCCTCAGATTCCATGCAAGCTTAAAACTTCAAGTTCTTGAGGCAGACAAAGGCGCTTGGATTCCTGTCTCACTGTTGAGATTTTTCAGTGTTGCTGGGATGCTGTGGCGCGCCTTTCTTGGATGGCTGGATGACGTCTCACTTTGCTCCAGCAACTTCTGCATTGCCAAGAGACGCTTTTGTACCTCTTCCATTTTTTGATTTTTGGCCATCTGGGCACGCTGAGAGTGCCTTGAGCCACTTAGGCCGCCCTTGTCTTTGGAATGGGTAGCACTGCCGTCGGAGGCAAAATCAACAGCTGAATCCAGGTACTTTGCTACATCCTCAGTAGATGCAGCCGTTGTTTCAAGCTCCATTCGATCCTGCCGCTGCCTTTCCATCTTGCTTTTCTCATCTTTCTCTGCCACCTCCAGCCGAAGGCGTTCATTTTCCTCCTCCTTCTGGGAAGCTAACACGGCATAAGTCGATAGCTGTTCCTGCAGCTCTCGAACTTCCTGCTGCCGTTGGTCTGCCACCATCTGGTAACCTTGAGCCTTCTCCTCCACCGCCGTCAACTCTCGGCGTTTCAGGCTCAGAAGTTTGGACATGTTTTGTTGTGCTAGTTGGGCCAGGCTGACCTCCTCATTCTTCTTGTGGATTTCGCGGGTGTGAACACTGAAGAGCTTCGGCAAGTTCTCCGACACTCGGACTGCAGAAGATAGGCCCTCTAGCCAGAACTCAACATCTTCCTCATCCTCAAAATACATCGTAAGTGCCAGCTCTCCATCTTTAATGATGTGAAGCTCTTTGTTGCCTTTACAAATGTCAGCTCCTCTTAAAAAAATGGAGTCCTCAGCCAGCCCGGCAACACATCCATGCATCAGCATATCGCCCACCAAGGTCACATGCAGCCGGGAGCGGTACAAATTATGTGGTAGCTGACAGGACACCTCGCCAGTCAAACTGCTTGCCGTTGAAGCCCTTTTCTTTACAGGAACCACCACGGGACGTGATGATGAAGAAGGATAGCAACCGCAAGACCTCGATTTGCCGAGATGATCATCCGAATCTTCCAACTCTTAGTCATTCCCGGTTTTTTTGGTGGATGAACCAATCGGAAAAATATTAAATTACAGAAAAAAAAACATGTAAAAAAAAAACGGCACATCCCGTCGGACGACGTTTGGTAGGTGATAATCCCAATGGCTCCACCCGCTGCCACCGCAGCAGCAACTCCCATGGCTGCCATGGCGACCGAAGGGAAGCCAATCCCAGGAAACACGGAGGATGCTTTTCTGAGGACAGCTGGGATTCATATAATGTGCATGTATATCATGCAGTGTATGTAGCCTATTGCAGCCTGACATGTTTTTGGGACTTGATGGGACTTGCATGGCCTTCATGGTATCATGGTAGAGTCCATCAGAGGGATCTTGAACCAATTTGTCACGGTCACGGGATCTTTTCAGCGATCGCACGTCCAATCTTGGCCCCTCGCACATTCCAAGAGTTGTTTTGGTGTTAAGCGAAATCCCAAGTTTCTGTCCAAAAGATGGGATACCCCTAAATTCGCAGCTTCATCCTGCTCTCATTAAAATAATTCAAAATCCGCATTTTGGGGACATGCCCCATTTTCAAAGCCATTGTTCGGGCCTTGTGCACGCGCCGCACAAAGTCCTTCCAAAGCAAGAAGTCGAAATGGAGCTGCCCATCCCTGGAATCCGCGATGGAAAATCAATGGATTGGTTGAAAGGAAATCTACAGGACCCCCGATATTTCATGGGAGAGTCCATTGTTTCCGCTTTCGATGTTCTCTTCAACCAATCCATGTTTCAATCCTTTTCAGGGCTTTGCAAAAACTGGTTGGTGGTTTTAACTTGCCTGAAAAACACTAGTCAATTGGGATCCCAATAGGTCAAATATACGAAATGTTTGAAATTCGAAACCACCAATCTGGGAGAATCTGGGAGGCTACTCCCAACCATTGGTTGGAGTTGGGGGATCCCCAATTGCTCTGAGCCCCCGCCTGCAGCAGGCCTGCCGGACACGACATGACACAGCTGGTTTTTATTGAACAGCTGGAGTTTTTATCCATGGAATGTGTCTGCAAATGTGTGATGGGCCTAAGTTGTATAGCATGTGTTTGTTTCTCCAAAAAAAGGAAAACAACATCTATCATGATTTATCAATGTTCATCAGATTCATAAATCATATCATGGTTTCTCATTCTCAAATGGCCATGTTGGGGCCCAAACTCGCCAGGTGCTTCCACCAACGGATCCCACCAGCACCTCTGTGTGTTGCCCTTGCTGCACGAAGTCGCAGAGTTTCTCCAGTGTCTGCTGCTCTGCCGCGGACCTCCGAGGGAATCTGTCAAGTCATGTGTGCCATGGTCAAGTTACACGGAATCTATGGGTTTTACGAAGAACAATGGGGATATGCAGGAATATAATGGACATATATACAATCAAGTGTATATCATATGATCTATGTGGTTTGGTCCGCCATCCATGCCATCATGCAATTTGTTACAATTGGTATACAAAAAGTATAGATAGATAGATAGATAGAGATAGATAGATTGATTGATTGATTGATTGATAGATTGAGGTAGATAGATAGATTGAGGTAGATAGATAGAGATAGATAGATTGATAGATTGATAGATTGAGGTAGATAGATAGAGATAGATAGATTGATAGATTGATAGATTGATAGATAGATAGATTGATTGATTGATTGATAGATTGAGGTAGATAGATAGATTGAGGTAGATAGATAGAGATAGATAGATTGATAGATTGATAGATTGAGGTAGATAGATAGAGATAGATAGATTGATAGATTGATAGATTGATAGATTGATCGCTTGATTGATTGATAGATTGATAGATTGATAGATTGATTGATTCATAGATTGATAGATTGATAGATTGATAGATTGATAGATTGATCGATTGATCGCTTGATTGATTGATAGATTGATAGATTGATAGATTGATTGATTGATTGATAGATTGATAGATTGATAGATTGATAGATTGATAGATTGATCGCTTGATTGATTGATAGATTGATAGATTGATTGATTGATAGATTGATAGATTGATAGATTGATAGATTGATAGATGATAGATTGATCGATCGATTGATTGAATGAATGAATGAACGGACGGACGGACGGATGGACGGATGTTTTTTACCCAGCACATCTTCTCAGCACCCGGCACCTCCTGTAGGGCTGCAAAAAGGCATCCCCTGTGCCACCGCCCAAGAGCCTATCCACCAAGGGAGGCTTCTCTGGTGGAATGGGCCTACGCGGCTCCAGTCCATCCATCCAACGGATAGGGAAAACCCATGAGAAAACCATGAGAAAATGGCGCTTAAATTTACAGTGAACGATCGAAAATATATGGGAATTGAGAGTTGATTGATCTGATGTATGATAGCAAAGTTGGTTGATACCACTAGGTGAACGATTGGGTTTGTGGTAGAGATATCCAACTACTTTATTCGGTGAAACTAAACCAATAAACAAAAGTAGAGGGAAGCACCTGTGCCAAGCCACATCAAGCCACTAAGTTTATCAAATCTGCCAATATCTTGGCTCATTTCTGCAATTTTCTGATCAGAAACAACATATCCACTTTATCTTGGCTTTTGGGTGCCCAAGTATGGGCCACATCGGTAGATTGATGCCAAAATGGATCTCAGAATGGTTCCGCTGGAAAGGCAAGAAAACGTGTAATTACACTATGGTACATGGTGACACGGAAAATGAGTGAACATCTCCTTCAACTAAACTTCTTTCTGTCAGAAGGGCTTGTAATTCTGGACATGCCAAACTGTCCATAAGCGACAAATGAAGCTACGAGTACTAGGCCTTGCAGCTTATGTACTCTCACGAATTCGTTCCTCTGGATCAGTCACCACTGGACGTCTTGCAGCACTTGCTTAGCATTGCTGTCTATCTCTCACTAGCGAGCCTGTTTACAAGTGTAGACAAAGCCCTGACCAAAAAGACTTGCCAAATCAGGGTGTCAAAAAAGGCTACTTCAACAATCTTCAACATAGGTTATATATATATAATATACAGATATAAAGTGGTAAACCCAATAAGCCATCCCCAGTCATCACCATTTTTATGGGTGGTTTAAACCATCCCCAGTCATTTTTTGTTGGTTTGTTGTTGGGTTGCCCACATTATATATATACATATATTAACGCATGTATCGATAGATAGATATTTATAGATATAGATACAGATATACCCTCTGGTAAATTAACATAGACCCTGGCAGTCTTGGGGGTTGGAAGATTAGTTTCCATTAGAACTAAGCTATTTTCAGGGTCTATGTTAATTTACCAGAGGATAGATATACTACCCATGGTTGTGGTGAGCTCCCAGCAAAATGCCTCGGTTTGCTTCGTGCAAAGTCTTCTCGCTGCTGTTCGTCCTGAAAAGGGCCCCAGAAATGGACTGGGATATGCTAACCAAAATGGGGACCCAGCAAACCAGGTCCTGCAAATCACATTTGTTTCCAACGAAGAGGACAGGGCATGTGCCGCTCAGAATGCCCTGGCTGCTTTGAAGCAGGTACCCAGGTACCCACAGTGTCACAAAGATATGTAGCTGGTTGTTGTGGAAGCTCATCCCCCAAAACAATGGAAAATCAAGCAGCAATGAAACTCATCGCTATTGACCCATGCCCAAATGACAACTTCTGGCAACTTTAAAACGATTCAGTGACTTCCTCCACGCGCCTGCTCGCTCGAGCTTGCATCTCCAAGTTCCAAATCCATGTCTGGCTGACCACCACCTGTTTTCCGGAACAAAAGGTACCCAGAATGTTTCAGGCATATCTCCCCGGGAAGAAAAACAAAGAACTGTCCAACTGTCCACATGACCAAAAATCTTATCTATAGATCTATTTATAGTTTCTGCTGTAAAGATATGCTGCATCTGGGGATCCGGACTGCCACCACCAGCATCCCAGTACTTCAGGGATGGGGGTCGCACCTTGAATCAAAAACTGTTTGTCGGAAAATCAAGGTACTCCAAAACTTGATCGTTGATCATCATTTTCCCCACGAAATAGCAATAAATTGGGATATCCCCCATTTCTTGACAAAGCGACATGCTAGCAGTTGCAAAATGAGCACCTAACCAACGAGCAAAGCTCGAACAGCCATGAAACAAGTCCGTGGTAGGACCTAGGCAGTCATGGGCAAATGATTGCTTGATATTGCTTGAAAATGATACACAACCCCATACATCCGCTACATTTTACCATGGAAGGTTAAAAATGGGGGGGGCTTTGGGTGTCATGTTGAATTTAGTGCAAAGCCCAGGCGGTTGAATGTGTCTAAGCCCAAGACTTCATGTTGGACATGTCGTAAACCAGAACTACCTCAGATGGAGAGCTTGGCATCAGCCAAATTCAATGTCTAGGAGTGCATGATCAAACGCATTAAAGAAGACTAAAAAGGAAACTGCTTCAAAGACGTTCCAGCAATCCCAAAAAAGATACAACTATTCAGTTCCCCCTATTCTAATAAGATTCGATTTCTCTCCTTTTTTGACCCTTTTGGAGGTTGTTACACCATGTTACACCCTGATGCAAAAGAGCTCGCGTCTCGAACCTTGGGCGCTGACTGCATCCAAGGCGTCATAGAAAACCGGTCGGGCACCTCAGTTGCGTCCCATCCCAAGCTTCGCATCCTCCGGCGCGGCGCCTAAGGCGCCAAGCAAGAATAGGTCTTCGTGCCACCCACTTCCCACCTTGGTAGCAGGAGGCTGCTCAGCGTTTGGAGAATCCTTTCAGAAATCAAGTCCTTATAGCTGAGACACTGCAGGATGACTTATCAAATCCTCCACTGAGTTCAAGGCAACTCTACCTGTGGCATTAGCGTCTCTGGAAGGCTCTCCCAAACGATCAAAGATCAAGGCAAGAAATGCAGACTTGCAAATCAACAGGCCAATAGAAATTATATGAACCAATAAACCAACAAACTGGGAATCAACAGGCCAGCAAATAACAAATCAAGCATTCTAGAGCGCTGCTGGCCATCAAAAAACTCGGCATGCCCCAGCCTCCACTTCCACTGGTCTAAAATCTGTGTCCACCTGGTCCGCGGACTGAAATGGGTCTCAAAACATGGCTCTATAATGTATATATATATATATATTACACACATACGTAGTGTTATAAAGGTTTAATTTATAGTTATAATTATAAGTGGCCCAAATCCCTCGGTTTATCAACACTTTGAATCATTTTCCCATTTTGTTCCTGTCAAAATGGCTCGAAGATTGGTGATTTTGGGGATATCACCCATGGCTTGACACAACCCGCAACGGTTGCTGAGACTTCACGCCATTTCCCGCAGAATCGATACTTTGCAACCGCAGGTCCACTCCTGGGGCGGTGACATTGCTGGTAAGGCAATGTTCGCCCCCATAAAAAATGGAAAACCATAGCTTTCAAAATCCCTCTTGCCATGTATAAATGTATGGTAATATATGATGGCATATGATGACACATGATGACATATGACAACTTATGATGACATATGATGACATCTGATACTGTAACATATGGCAACGACATGACTTTCCAAGTGTTCAACACGTGCATTTCGACCGCAGGAACTTCGAATCAACCTGTCCTACAAACACTGCCAGAGGCACGATTTTTCCGGCGGTTCACTGCGAGGCAGCGCATCCCGAGCCCTGGTGGGGGCTCTCAGCCGCTGAACATTGGTTTCAACCTTGCAACGGAATACATGATGGGCATGGTTCAAGAATGCCAAAGACATGCGCATAAAAAAAAGATCACATAAATCATCCAATCATCCAATAGATCAGTGGACAAAGCAAAGACATGAACTACTACAAATCATGTGTCAGACAATGGGTCACTGGGTGCTTTGAGGTCTGATGAGGTCTGGCTGCAAATATTGGAGTTTGGTGGAAAGCAACCGAAGAAATCTGGAGTTACAACTCCCAAGTGACTGTTATACCATGTATATACCTTGTATACCTTCATGTTTGGCTGGTTATGGTTGAACCCCTCGATCTGGTGCCGTGGGCTTAGTCGACTGACATACCTTCAGGGGTTCTGAAGCCTGATATTGCTGGTTGTTCATCCCCCCATGGTGCCATAGCAGGACTCAACCCCCATCTTTGAAGGTTGAATCACCATTTTAAGTGGGATGCCATGGAGTCCTATTTTGTTGGGCCAATGAAATCCAGGTCCTCAGGTCTGATCAGGGTAAATCATAACAAATCACCAACCAACAAAAACTAGGGCCTTTTGGCATTTTCCTCATCCCAACCTCAAGTCAGCTATCATCATGATCAGTTGCAGCTTCGTGACATATCAGCCCAGCCAGGTGAAGAGCTCTTCTCTAACGCCAACTTGAGCATCCTGGCAGAAGTTGGACCAAGGTCATGGGGGGAACCTTTTTTTGCCAGGAGTTTTGGGGAAAATGGAAAATCCTATAGGTAAACCAACACTTCCCTATTGAAAATAGCCCATGTAGTTCGTTGATTTACCTAGTAAATCCTATTAATACGGGTGATTTTCCATAGCAAACTGTTAGTTTACCAAAGGGATCCTTTGAGGGTATCCCGATGGTCAATGGATATGGGGAGATAACCCAGATTATCTTCGCCTGAAAATGGTCAGGTTGACTCATTTTATCCAACAGCCTTTTTGTAATGTCAAGTTTTCCCGGAATCCCATATCTGCCATAGATCCAATTTCCAGATGTGGTCCTGATGGTCTTTGAGTTTGAGGCACGATCCGCCACCAGGCAAACAGCCTGACGCTGCAAGTTCCGATTCGTTGTGCGGATCCCTAAGGCCCTATGGCCACCAGCATTCCACGCCTTCGTTTGGGAGTGAAACGCGGAACTTTCAACTGTTTTTTCACACCGCAAAACGCGACTGCAGCCGAATCGAGGCACAGGGCTGCGTTGATCGTCCGTTTCACCATCGAAGTTGAAAATCTGCAGCGCGGCTCCATCCTGCAGGGACTGGTCAGAACCGATTTATATGCCTTTGCATGGCTATATAATGCCATGCATATAACATATACATATATATATATATATACATTATATTCATATTGCGTATAGTTGTATATATATATATATTCCTGTTTTTCCTGTACCTTATATATCTATGTATATATCTATGTACACATATATATATATACACATATGTGTAGCCTCAAAACTGCATCATTCAAGCGGCCTGTCAACCCAGTCAGCAGTTGGTAACATATGCACCCTGACATGTCATAAGAACATATATATATATATACACATGTACAAAAGCACTGTATGAGATACGACCATTTCTTCGGGGCGCCTCCACCACCGCCTCCAGGGCCGCCTTGGGCCCCCGGAGGACGAAGAAGGGCACAGCGCTGTGGAAGGTCTCAAAGCCCAGCCCCTGGACCAACCAAAGCGCTTTCGAAGCACCAGAAATGATGGGTGATTCATAGATATTCATAGACAAACCAGGAAAATGAAGGGAAAATGGTTTGACAATAGATATTCATAGATTATCTATGAATCACCCATCATTGCTAAGAATCACCATCATTTAGCGAGTTGACATGGTGAATAGCGAGTTTGACCAAAGAAAAATTGGGACATTTGCAATTCCTGATACATGGCTTTTAACCAGTTTACATGGCTTTTTGATAGGAAAAACATCTAATTTTGTGATCATAAATTCCTGATGGGGAATATGATGGGGGCTGGGAAGTCTCCCAACTAAATTAGGTTGATTTTCATTTCCCAGCCACGTTGACGAAACCGGAGGGTAGAATGGGGATACAATGGAGATTATAAGAGGAAAATAATCCAACAAATGACAATAATGATGACTTCTACAAGGAACATCGTCTAAGAATGATGATAACATAGCGTTGCAATGGATACATATATATATATATTATGTATATAATTATATAATTGGAATACAAGGGGTTAGAATGGGAAGATCTTGAAAATAGTTTGAAATATGTTGGCTGCAACCACCAAAATGTTGGAAAATCGTGCCACTCATTGTGTTTTTGCTAAGGGGAAATCATCTAAGCATTGTGATAAGACTTGAGGTGAACCAAAATATAGGTGATATCCCCAAAGGAGCGAATGTTTGTGGATTTTAGCCGGCCAACAAATGGCAAAAAGGTGGATGTAAGCAGCCAAAAGTGGTGATATATTGAACCGATAATACTTGGATGTTTAAGCCAAAGTCTGAGTTATTAACCCAAGTAATATTGGAGTTTCACGAAGAATGTTTGGGTATTTCACCAACGTTTTATTTGGTGTTTAGACCCTCAACCTTGGGGATTACGCAGTCAGAAGAGGGGCGTTAACCAACAACAATGGGTATTCAAAGATGGGGTATTGGTCAAAACTTATGATATCACTAGGGCTAACAAACCAAACATGGGGATATCACTGGGGTACATTTTTGGGGATCTGAAACCATACATGGTTTAGAAATGAAGAGGGATATCATCAGTAGAGAACTTTAGTGGGTTGGTATAACCAACGAAAATATGCATATTGCACTACCCAATATTTATCAGTGTCTGCCACAAACTGAGGTCTGACCAACCAAAATGGATTCATCACCAAGAAGAGGGGATCAACCCCATCTCATGATCATAATCATCATTACCGCATGGGGGATTCAACGCAACGGACATAGAACATTTCAGACACCAACATCTGCAGGATCTTACAACTGATTCACCGGTTGGTGGTGACTTAGGGATCATCATCCTATCATTTCAGAATCAGAAACGAAACAACATTAGAAAACAACATCTGAAACTCACCAGCCAGATGAGAAACATATGAATTAGCATTGTACCGCACGCAAGTGGCCTGCCTCTACTTGCTCCCGGAGCCAGGCTTGCTCAGCTTGGTAGAAACTGAGTACCTTCATGGGAGGCACCGATCATGCATGGTATGCTCAAGTCAATGGTGCACCAACGGGCCCACATTGGTTTGTTTGCTCCATTCATCGGATTCATAGACCCCTCTGTTTAATGGTACGGATTGAAGAGCCAGAATTACTGTAGAGTGTCACGTTTTGGGCGACGACCCCATTTTTTCCAACCACGGTTTATTATATATTATATAACCATCAAACAATCATCATCACAATAAGCCCGTATTAATTTCATTGTTCGAATATTCGCTTGTTTGATCCGCTTATCATCACGTTCCCGATCATTTGATGACAACTGTGTCGGGCGGTCTCCCTCCAATTTTGGGGACAAAACCCCCTATTTTTTGATCCGGGGAAATCAATCAGTGACGCCTTGTGACGCATGCAAGGGGATAACCCTCAGAATGATCAGTGATTATGGATCACCCACTATCACCCACTTTCTTGGTCACTCCCTTGATCCAACTTCGAAGCTCACCTGGCTTCGATGTTCACTGGAGATGGGACCCTCAATGGCAGCCAGCGCACCTCCGAAACGCAGCGTCCATAGAAATCGTGAAAAACCCTTCACAAACCATGGAAAGTCCTGTGGTTGATTATCAGTGTCCCCATGAAAAAAATGCCAAACATGCCAAACAAAAAGCATTGTAATTTGATCATGGGAAAAGACTTGTCATCATGGTGATTTAATCCCCATCACCCCAATATTTAACAGTTAGACCATGGTTTCTGGAAGGGGTTTGATATTAGGGGGCAGATATTGTCAACTCTCTCCCCCATCAACAGGGACAACTCCGAAAGATTCCGAAAGTTGCACAGCAATGGACCTGCCAACGCCATCTCAGAGATATAGAGGCCGCCCGAGAAAGGCAGGGTCTCCTGCGGATGCAGAAAGGGGTGTGACTTCAGAAACCATAAAACCACCATATGTTTGAGAGCAGGAAAAAAGACATTGGAACTACGTATGTGACCATGATAACAATCAAATGTGTTCATGCATCATCAAAAAATAGATGGACAAGTGGGGAAAAAACAAAAACAAATCAAAGTTCGATGATTTCCGAGCTGTATATATACATATATATATATATAGCTATATATCAACTCCATTTTATTTTGGGGATTCCCAGCCAGCCATCCCCATCACAACCTCATGAAGGTTCTACATATTATATTATATTATATTATATTATACTATATTATATTATATTATATTATATTATATGATGATATGATATTATATTATATCATATCATATAAAATAATATAGCTCTCAGATCCCCCATTCTAAGCCAACGTTATCATCATTCTCTTCTGAGTTTCCTCATTTTTCTTGTATTTATATTCTTGGTGAATCCCGAAAATTATCACCATCTTTGGGTGATTTCATTTGTGGCCCGCTCCGCGATGAGATCTGCGGTGGCCGCTGTACTCTTGGCATAGCCCAGCCGCAAGCCGGCTAAACCTTCCACCTGAAGGGGTTGTTATTCATTTTGGTGAATGTTGGTTAGTTATGGTTGGTTATTCAATATCACAACAAATATCCAACAAATTATAAATATGTTCGATTGTTGATTAATGTTCATTGGTTCTTTTAATCCATGTTGACTGATGTTTATTGATGTTTACTATTCTTCACTGGTGCTTACTAATCTTTGCTGGCTATTGATGTGTATAATAATGTTTATGATGGGGATTTCTACTGCAGGATTTATGCCGACCCTGCCATGAGGTCTTAAGCACTGGAAACCCTCATTCTCTACAATGGACGGAATTCGAGATGTAGATGTATACTGTAGATGTGCTTCTTTGTTGGTTTAATCGCAGAATCGCAGCCAGCCTTGGACAAGGATCGAATCAGCACCACGCTGTCGTTGAACTGGGCAAGGGTCTCCAGGATATCGTCATCCTCCGTCTTTTCCTGCCAAAATCTCCAGACTCCAGACCCTTGCAGAGGGCCAGAGACCCTGAATTCGTCACTGATTTGTATATTTGTCGAACATGGAAAAACCAATCGACCCACAGTGATCGTCTTATATCATCTTGTGTCATCTTGTATCATCGTATATCATCTTAATATATATATATAATTATATATATATTACTTACTAAACTATAGTAAACTATACCAAAGTGGCTCCTCCGCATCCCATCCCCACCGTAAAGCCCAGGTAGGTCTGGTCCACCGCCACTAAGGTCTTGGTGAAGTCCCCAGAACTGAGGAGATCCCGCAGCTGGGAACCGAAGTTGGGCTCCTTGACTCCTCAATTTGTTGGGGGATGGCCGGGGCCGGGGGAATGACATGGAAATCCTATAGAAATACAGCTTGAGTATTGTATAAGAATGCACTGTATAAGAATTTCAGGGGCTCGGATCCAATGCGGGCTACATATTTTCAGCTATACCAAGCACATAGTACTTTAAGAATTTGAGGGACCCTGGGATAGGATTGCCAAATTCTTAAATTACTGTTTATATGTGAGGTTTTGTGGGTTTTGTGGGATGGGAACTGGAAGGTTGCAATTCCCCGTTGCGGTTCCCTTTTGTGGAATGATTTGAGGGACCCTCGACCTATTGTGGTGGAAATTTGCCTGCATTAAAAATAAGGATTTGAGGGACCCTGGGCCTCACTCAAGCTTTTGGATTCTTAACCAACTCTCGGGCTGTACTGTAGAAATCCTGTAGAAATCCACGGAATTTCCGAACACCTCAAGCTCAAAGTTTCGAATGCCTTGAAAATCTCGCTCAAGTCCTGTGGGAAAGTGCGGGTGCACCAAGTAGACCAATGCAGGAGATTCACCTTGGCGCCGATGATACATTGAAGTTTTGACATGCAAGAATGATCAAGCATGAACATTGACCAATAGCCTTGAGAACTCTGACTAGTTTGGGCGAAAAGGTCTGGATGTTTTACTACAACAATACAACCAAAAAGAGATGATGGGTCCCACAAGTCTACTGCATTCCGCCGAAGCTCTGAGAATATGACTGGCCATCCTTTCTCGCAACGTTTGCCAGAACGTCTGAGAGGCTCCATCCGCCGACCAAGGATCAGGGTAAGGCACCTTCAAAAACGACAGCAACGACAGAACTGCCACATGGGAAACTCCACATCTGTATCTAGTAGGGACATGTAGGGACCCATGATTCAGGAGGAAATCATCAAAATCATCAACATCATCAACATCATCAATCTGAAACATAAAAGCCAAAATCTGCCAAAAATCTACAGCTGAGGGGCCTTGTCGATGCTCATACCACCGGCTCGGAGCAAGTAGGCGGCATTCGGCCAGGACGGGCCTGAGCCACATCTGGGCATGTCTCTGAGACCAGAAATAAAGAAAAGCCATCGGTTGAATCGTTTCCGGGTCAATCATGAAATGAGTTTGGGGCACACGTTCGCTCAAAAGCCTCTCCATTCTTGGGGTTCTAGAATTTCGACCCATGTGCATATCTCCCATCTTCATTGTTTGACATTCCTATGAACTTGTATTCTTGCTCCAATCTCAGGTTTGCTGCTGAAATCCCGTTTTTGTTGGGTGAACCCCTCTATTTTTGGCAGTTAAATACAATTCTTTGCCGCCCCCATACAGCACGTGGGGTCCCTGCCTTGCATCAAGGCCTTCAAAGGACCTGGCAGGTTCCCATCTGGTCTGAAATGGGGATCATATGAAAGAGCCATGTATAGTGAAGAAATAAGATCATGGGAACAAATCATGTAGTTAAGCAATTATTCCATATAGACATAGAGCCATTATTTGGGTTCATTTGGCGAAGAAACCATGTTCATCAACAAAACCACAGAAAAATGATCAGGGAACAGACATGAATGATGAAAAAATATTGGGGCATTCCTAAAAAGGGAAGATGATGGCAGTTGGGTTTCTCTCCAAATTGGGATTTACCAAATTGACGGACATCTGAAAGGGGAACATTATGATAAACCATGGGATACTGATATTTATGCGTGATACGAGTATCTATGCCAGGTCCGCCAAGTATTTATGCGTGATTTAGGGTCCGTTAAAGGGCTGGGATGTGTCTGTTTTCTTTCGGGATTTTACGGTTGGTTGAGTGTTTTTGTTTACTTCTCGAAGCACTGCACACCACAGCAGCTTGCAGTCCCGCATGGAATTCGGTCGATTTCGTGCAACTAGCGATAGTGTTCTATCACCATCTATAACTGGACACACTTCCTGCTGATGCCGGCGTCGTGAACGTCCCAAATGGTTTCGATTCTAGCTCTGGCAGGGATCTTTACATAACTTTATGTGGGGTCTATCAGAAATGTGGTATATACCCTGAAAATCCAATGGTTTCCAATAAATTACTGCAACTCTGGTGTATATCAACCAGGGAGTGGTGTCGATCATATTTTGTTCTTGGAAAAATAGGTCCTGCACAACTGACCGCTAAAAAAGAATGGTATCTTTTAAATGGAACGGCTACAATAATTCACAAATTGTCAGTTGAAAAACCTTGGAGCAAAGAACCAAAGATGACTTTATGTATTGGCTCCAATCAGTGATTGGACCGTGTCCTCCTTTGGAGGCTCTGGCAGGCCGGTCCAAGAATGGGGGGGATACCGCCTGGTGATTTTGAATAGAGAAAAAAAATGATAAACCATTGAATTTGGGGTGCAGCATTTTCAAACAACCCCATATGTGCCATGGTCATCCATCCCATAATGGCAATGGGAAATAATGGGTGTATTATGGTGTATGTTTATCCCTATGAAAACGGATTGATTATTCCTATCCCCATGGGCGTAACCCAAATCATCCAAGTCAACCATTTTTAGTGAAACGTCCATGGTGACTTAGTACTAGAACCCCCCAAGCAGTATTTGTAGTATTGCTAGTTGGGGAATCCCCCATGACTTTAAGGACACCCCCCAACCATTAGACAAACCCCGGCACCTTCCGCACGTTTGGCAGCTGCCAGCGCCGTGCGCAAAATCATGTCCGAGGCTCCATGCGCCCAGACCAGGCGTGCTGGAGTGGTCTGCAGGGCCTTCGCCAGCGCCTGAAAACGCACAAAGGCACCGGTGGTGGTCACAAACGTTCCAAAAATCCATGGATGCTTCAAAAAAAACAACTTCTTCCATTGGAAAAAAAACACAAAGTGGTTTCAAACAACTAGTATCAACTAGTATCAACTACCAAAATGTATCACCAGATCACTGCTTTGTTTGTTTCGACTCACCAAAGGCAGCACCCTCCACCTGGTAAGTCTTGGGTCGGCCATCCACCGGATACGCCGCCGCATCCTTGGCCGCATCCTTCAATGCCCACGCCACATCCAGCGAACAGCCCAGGACGCTGGCTCCGCGAGCGCTGCTGCTGCTGAAGGTCACTTCAGGCCTGATGGGCACTTCATGCGCTGTTTTCATGGGATTTAACATGATTTAACTATGAACTGATGGGAATTTAATGGGATCTTAATCAACTTGGTCAAGTTTTTCTCCCAAAGTGGTAGATCTTCAATGGATTCTTTTGAAAAGGAACATCTGCCAGGTTTTCTGTGCATTTTCCATAATCCAATTCTGGGAGATACCCCAGATCTCCGAAGTATCGTGCCCCAGTCCGTGCCAAGTTGTTTATAACTTGGGTAAGAATTGGGTTAAGGGTGGATACATCTATAGTTCATCGGGGGTATAAACCATTCTTTAACTGAGGGGCACCACATTATGATAGAACTGGTGTTGATCAAATGATGAAGCGTTCAAAAGTTAGTGGTAGTTGTAACCCAAATGATCGGTGTGTATAATGGTGCATATTGCCCCCAAAAAACTAGAGTATATAGTCTACTATAATTCATGGATAGAAACTGGTAAATCTTCGAGAATATGTGGTCCAAAATTAATGCAATTTTAAAGCATCAATAAATACTTTTATATACGTTGCTTTTGACAAGTGTCGGAGGATATTGACCAAATAAGCATTAAAACGGGGATGTTTCTTGACCACAAAAACATATTGACAAAGAAGAAGTGTTCGACTATAGAGCCCGACAAGCAACAAAAGAATAGGGGATCAAACGGGTCATGGGGTTGCAAGGGAAACTAATAAACAATGTTCATATATATATATAATGTATATATTTATATATCAACAACCAACCAAACAATGGGGATGTAAACCAACAACCAACAAATTATATATAGGATATATTGATCAACCAAAAAAATGGTCTGGGGCGAGCACAGGGAATCGGGATACACCCATTTCTATGGGGGGGCTGAAAATGACCATCTATGACTTGATTTAGAAAACCGCCTTTTTGGATTTTTTTGTTCATCATTTTGGTCACAACCCTCATGTGTCTATTTTGTAGACTCATGCTTTGCATCCCCAAAGTTTTGTTGCTTACTTTTGCAAAGTGTTGTTAGTCAATCTCCCTGGTTTCCACTTTCGAGTCTTGTGGCATCGAGTTTGCGATTAGAACATGCACCAGCTGGATGTGGTTGTTCTCTCTGAAGTCACTGGACGTTGATGAAACTTGGGTCTCCTTCAAGTTGCCTGCTAGATGCTGGCCTTCAACAAGCCAACCAATCACGGAAATATTAATCAATTTGGATCAGGTCGGATGACCAATCTTGGAAACCACTGGTCAGTATCGGCATAGTATTGGTGGTGGTGATCGGACCTCTGTCATCAGGCGCTCGCTTGCCTTGCCTGCCAACTGGAAAGATTTGGCCATGTGCTTCTCTGTGGGGCAGAGACCACAAAGCAACGATTTCCTTCTCCTTAGCTCAAGGCAAACCGGTGTATTATCAAGTCCTTGTTTTCTGTCTGTGTTTTACTCATGAACACAAACCAACAACTTCGTGGGCTACGCGTGCATGTAAGAGTGAAGGATCTCCAAAACTCACAGCTAACCCCTTTGAAAATCAGTTTGTTTGAACTTTGAACCATCAAAAAAAAAATATGACTGGTTGGTGGTTTTAACCATCTTGAAAAATATTAGTCAATGGGAAGGATTATCCCATATATTATGGAAAATATAAAATGTTCCAAACCACCAACCAGATGAATATTTTTGGATACCAAATCTTGACCCATCCCGTGGCTTTCCATGTGGCACCCGGCTTTTGACACACACAAGTGACCAACTTCCCTCGGGCTTCTGGATCTAGAGCTGGATCCAGGGCGAACCTGCCAGTTCAACACCATAAAAAACACCATTCAGCACCATCCAATTTTGGAAAGGCACCACCAATATTCAACATATTTCAACATGTTCGGGGGGAATCACCATCAACAATCCAATTCTTCAGGGATTCAAACATTTTGAACCATAGCAAGTACAGTACCCCATTTCAAACCATTCTGCGCAAGCGTTCCATTGATGGCATAGATTGCTGTCAATGCGAGGAATAGATTCGTAATTGTTTCGGAACGATTGGATGGCAGTGTTGGGGCCAGTAATTCTTGATAGGCATGTTTTTAATGTAAGTTGTCACGGTGGTGCTTTTTAAGGCATGAACGTAACAACACATCCAAGATCATCCAAGATTGATTGAAATTTATAGATGCAGGCCTTTGCAAAAAATCGAACTGATCTTGGACCGCAAAGCGGTCAAAGATCTTGAACAATACCCACATGAGTTGTCAGAACACGTTGGAAAATAGGGATTCCCGGAACGTATTATGATAATCCGTAATATATTGGGCAATATCACCCCCTGTAAATCATCAATCAACAAGTGTTTTTTGCACTGCTCATGTTGGAAAATACAATTTGATCATTAAATATCATTAAACTATCTCCTGAATATTCCAGCACTATCCCATTATATCCCACTTATATCCACTTACATCCCATATTAAGAAACGGTTGACCCAAAAAAAGGGTCGCACTTTGCCCGGCCGTGACCTCAACGCCTCCTCGCTGATCCGCAGGCCGTAGACGGTGAAGGAGTGGCGCAGTTCATGAGCCAAGGCCTGGCATATTTTCAAGGGAGAGAGACGGACACAAATATAGATATGACATACGGTATGTATATATAGAGAGAGAGAGAAATAGATAAGATAAGATACGATAATATTAGATTAGTTTAGATTAGATTTAGATTTAGATAGATGTATAGATATACAGATATATTGATATATTGATATATTGATGTATAGATATATAGCTTTTTAGATGTATATATATATATACATATATATATTATACATATATATATATATTATATATATACATATATATATATGTATAATACATGTATATACATATATATATACATATGTGGACGTAAAGATATAGATATAGATACTGCTGCAAATATAGATATAGAATGATATATGGGTATAGGTTTAGATTTAGACATTGATACCGATGTTGATATTGATATTGATATGTTGATATTTGATATAGATTTAGATTTTGGTTTAGATTTAGATGTAGATAGATACATAGATACGAATATAGACAAATCAGGGAGATAAACCAGATAAACTACCCGGCGGAAACATTACTGTACGCATTTTATGTTCAAATCAAAGTTTCACTATAGCGAAACTCAATTTCTATATCTTTAAAATCCACCCAAAAGAAACGGGCAACAAATGGATTTCCAAGGGCGCAAAAACACTGTGAGAGTTGCTTGCTCTTGACTGCGACCTGTCAAATACAGACAACACTCCGCACCCGGCGGGATGTTTATGGCTTAAGATGACATACTGTATATGTCAACATGTTGATAGATCGATGCGACGAATAGGCTTGATGGGACAAATACGATGGATAGGATCGATAGGATAGATTCAATAGCTCAGATGGACGAGACCGATTGTAGATTGGATAGATTATACAGAATAGATCATGTCTAGGATAAGGTAGGACACTAGACAAACAACTATGTAAATATACATATTCTAACGATTATGTGTATATATATATATACACGTATACGTCGAGGTACTGGCCTGCGTGTATTGTTCAACGAAGGCACCGGCCTCAGCAAGAGGATGATCCCCAGGAATTGACGATGTTGGGATATTGGTTTTATGGCGAGTACCCTCGTAAACATAAAATTTCATTCCAATAAACATTAGGATTTTCCCCATTTAAAAAATATGATTTACCCCCGAAAAAATGTGATTTAACCGAAAAAAAAAGTGATTTACCCAATAAAAACGATGGTGTTCCAAATGAAAATGATGATTTCCGCGGTAAAACTTGCGATGTGTCCAACAAAAATGGTGATTTCCCAGCAAAAAGTGTTGATGTCCCCAATAAAAATAATCAGTCCCCACAAAGGTGGTGATTTCCCAGTAAGAATGGTAAAAAATGGTGATTTCCCCGATAAGAATCGTGATTTCCTTAAAAAAAGATAAGGTGATTTTCTGTTCATCAGTAAACGTGGTGATTTCCCAAGTACGGATCACCAGAATACAGCCATTCATAACCAACAACACAACGGGACCAGAATGGGGATATACTGCGGATATACTGCGGATATAATAATGATATAATAATAGGTAATGTCAATATAAGCGGGATAGCCAACAACCCATAGCCATGCAATATCCTGCAATGTTGAAGGGGGAACCGTGTAGGTGTATCTGAAAATGGAGGATACCACCAAATTACAGTTTTAACAAACAAAATCTTGATAAACGAGTGGATATTGGGGTACCCCATTTTCAGGCAAACCCGCATGTTGTCGTAGTTGACTGTCTGTTGTTGTACTGTACACTATGTTGCAGTAGTCAAATTACAAATCGGAATCACACGATGTGAATAGGATAACTCCAGAAACTCGGGATTCACAGAGCCACTGACAATGTTATCTCAACAGCACTGGCTAATAATAACATGGTCTCCCTCAAAATGAATTCCTCGCAATGTTCATGATCATTTCAATGACTCAACAAGTGTCCAAAGCCAAATGATGGGTCGCGAACCCATGACATATTATCATTTTTGCTGACTCGATACCCATGATTGGCTGATTGGCATATCTGCGTGTTGTTAGCTTAATGTTTCCCCACGTCCAGTTGGTTGATGAGTTGTTGATGCCCACTTTTTTTCCGGTGATAAGCCAGTGGATTAACGGCAGTATCCCATACTCACACAACCCTATGTCACAGCTCAACATGCATAGGGTTAGCAATAAACATCTCAATAAACCATAATAAATATCAATAAATCATCCAATCAACTCCAAGAATCAACACTCAAAGATAGTTTCATCACAGTTTCAACCATGTTTTCGCCACCGTTTTCGCCACACCTTCCCCCAGTTTTCGCTCGTCGTTGTGGCCAGGGCACCAGCGCGGCCATCCCTCCACTTCCATCGCTCCAAGTGGAGGGGCTGGCGAAGGCGCTGTCCGAGGACCTGGAGATGATTCTTGGATATGACTGGATATATAATATAATATATATATATATATAATATATATACAATAATATATATATATATATATAATATGTATATATAATATATATATATATTGTATGTAATGTATATATGAACAAATTGATGGTATCATTTGAAGAGTAAAAACACTCTTCAAAGAACCCAGCGTGTTGGGCTTCATGGCGGGTACGCTGAACTTACACAAGTGCCTCGAGTGTTGTCCGGTGCCAGTGTTGTCCGGTGCCAGATGGTAGCTATATGATGCTATATGTAGTTGGAGCTCGACCCATAGACGGCCGTGGTGTTTTAAGCATTTTTTGGCATTTTTTCGTTTTTTGATGGTCTTTCATGTCAACTAGCACACACACGTCATGCTACGTTATTGCATGTTATTGCTATGTTCTCTTGCACTTGCACACACACGTCGTGCTACGTTACACACGCACGTCATGCTACGTTATTGTTATGTTCTCTTGCACTTGCCCACACACGTCATGCTACGTTATGGTGATCTTCTCTTGCACTTGCTCACGCACGTCATGCTACGCTATGGTTATCTTGGGGTGGGGTTGGGTGGGGTGGGGCAATAGCGTTCATGTCAACTTGCACGCGCACACACACACACACACGCCATGCTACGTTCTTGTTATGTTCTCTTGCACTTGCACACACACGTCATGCTACGCTATGGATATCTTGGGGTGGGGTTGGGTGGGGTGGGGTGGGGCAATGACGTTCATGTCAACTTGCACACACACGTCATGCTACGTTATTGTTATGTTCTCTTGCACTTGCACACACACACACACACGTCATGCTACGTTATGGTGATCTTCTCTTGCACTTGCTCACACACGTCATGCTACGCTATGGTTATCTTGGGACCATTGACACCTTACCGATTTCTCGAAGAACTTTGCAAGGCCGTCAAAGCAATGAAGCGCTTCTGAGAAGAAGGAACAAAAGTGCTGCATCCCAAAAAAACACGAACTTATGTCAAAAAACGAAGTAGTTTTGGAGATTTTCAAAACCCTATTTTTCACGTCAACATGAGAAAAAATGACGTTTCGCTGTAGCGAAAACGAAATTTTTGTTGATGAAAAACTCCTAAAACCATACGGCCGTCTATGGGTCGGGAACCATGTAGTTGTTTAGTGTTGTGTAGAGTCATGGACTTTCCGCCTTTCGACCGCAAAATTTCGAGCTCCGTACCATGTCAGAAGGCGAGCCCCGGCTTTGAGGCGTGGCACCAGGCCAGCCACCAGCAACGTCAAGGAACGGAGGCTCTCCTGGGAAACATTGGCAGTCGCTGATGCGACAGCACTGGACTGGTGATTTTTTGGGATCAGCCATCCACTTTGGCGGTTAATTTGGCGGTTACCCTCTGGTAATTTAACATAGCTATTGAAAATTGCCATTTATAGTGGATTTTCCCATTAAAAATGGTGATTTTCAATAGCTATGTTAAATTACCAGAGGGTAATCCTGTCAAAGATTTTGAGATTTTTGAGCCGTTCCCATGATTCTTTGCTGGGAATGAAATAATACTTGCCATAGACTCGGTAGGTGACTGGGATCCTTGTCCTCAGAACTAATAGCAAGAAGCCAAATAAAATCCAGAACATGTTCTTCCCACCAAGTAAAGAAACCTGATTGGGGTGGAGAACCCAACAAAAAATGAGATTTCCCAGCGAAATCCATCCTTGGGTATAGCCTAAAATGCGTGACGCTCAATTGGGGATGAACAAATCTGGACCCCTTGTTTTCACCTTCAAATCCTTCAAGCTAGGATTTAAATCTGTACAAGTATTCCCCGAAGATGGATCCGGGTGTTCCAAAGATGGATCCAGAAAACGTGGGAAAAAAAAAACACCAATTATTAACAGTGGTAATAGTGATTTAATAGTGATGATTGTTGTAATAGTAAACATCCGACGACTTTGCCGTTCCACCAGGGTGATTTTCCATGTTGAGCCCATCCAAGGGCCATCCAAGGGGCGTCCAAGGCGACGGTGCTCGCTGGCTGGGCCAGTGAAGAGCTGCTAGAGGAGGCCGCACCTGCCACCCGTTGGAGGAAACGAAGCTATGGGTGTTTTGGCTGTTCTCCATAGGTTTTCTTGGAAAAATCTTGGGATATCTTATGGGATGTAATATGATGTAATTGGAATTCCCCCTCCTGATCCTCCTGTAAACTAACATAGAGGAAAACCCACTTGTAGATCATTTTCAGAAGGAAACCCATGGCTTTTCCACATCGATGTTATTACAGGAAGTTACCATGGGGTAATTGGATACTGGAGGGATTTACCTAGTCCAAGTGGCTATGTGGATGTATCAATCATCAAATTTCGGGTATTTTCCGACAAACCCAGAGGACTCTGGATAGATTGAGGTCCTACAGTCCCCCCAAAAAATGGGGCCTACCCCCCACCATGAAAGTCCGCCTCCGATGTGGAGCAAACCAGCAATTTCTTGATCAGGATGTTCATCTTCAGCCCTCTGAATGAGAGCCTGGACGTCCTGGCGCTTAGTCAAGTTACTGGAATAAACCATGATTAACCAGTATCAACCAGTATTAACATTGTCAACCCTTATCAACCCTTATCAACCATTATGAACCAGAAAAAAGGACGACATCCATATCCTGGTCCCGAACTCCTCCAAGCTGTTGAAGGTCCCTGGCACATGCAGCACGCGGCAGCAGCTTGGCGTGCAAAGCTCGGCCAGGGACGTGGAGCCCCCGGTGACCAGCAGCAACCCTGTCGGGCCTGAGAGTCATGGTGGATGAATAGGGAAAATCTTAAAGGACATCTTAGGGAACATGTGTGCCCAAAAAAATGGATGAAAATGATGAAATGATGATGGTTGTATGATGGTTATATAATGTATGAATCTCAGTTTTTTTTGGTTGCTTTGTGTTTTCTTAGCCAAGTCAGTTTGGCGATGCCTTTTGGGGGATGGATCAAGAAACATGTTTAGTTGTTAAGTTTCAATATGTGCAAGAAACGTGGTTAGAATATTTACATTTGGGATGGGTCAAAAAAGTACGCTAAATCTGTGAGGTTCTTGAAAAAACTCGGGACGTACTGTATATATGTAAATAATATATATATACACAATTATATATATACTATATACAGTATATATTGTCTCGAAGAAAATGGTTACTTTGGGGACAGGTAATGTTTCCAAAGTTTAACACTTGAAAAGCGCATGGCTGCTCTGACATGGAGAGAAAGGACACAAATGAAGTCTACAGTCCAATCCAATCCGAAAATGTGGTTGGTGGATTCGGGCCGTCCCAAACCAGTGATGGTAATCAATCCAAAACCATGAGGATTGAAAGTCAAACATGTGTGAACTCCGCCAAATAATATAATAATGCGGTTTTTTGCCAATGCAAACTCGCAATTCATCACTGTATCAACTGTATCCTTTCGTTTGTTTTCAATCCCCAACAAAAAGGCATGATCATCATGGGCCACAGCATCTCCTGCCGCCGGGTGTCTAGAAGCACCTTCACGCACCGTTGTATCAGTTGCTGTGGCAGTCTGACGCAGACCCCGTTTGGCTCGGGACGTCAGCCACGCGCTGGCCTGCCATGCGAGATATAATGTGTGCAATCCCCAGTGAAAATAATGTGCTGGTTGATGAATGGCCTCAACATAATTTCCAAACGTACATCATATGTCAACTTGCCACTCGGAAACCCATACTTTTTGAGGATGAACAAGTTCCAAAATCATCTCAAACCCGTGGGCTCGAAAATGGCCTTGTGAAAACCAAACGTGGAAAGGCATGTGCTTCCAATGTCGGTCGTCCGGACAGCAGCCCCTTTTCAGCAGCTTCAGCTCCTGCATGCTCCTGTTTCTTGTCCAAACACTTCATCTCTGAAGTGTAGTTTCAAGATATTTCAAGGCAGGAGCACATCACGAGTGCTGTGACTTGCGAATGCTGCAAATTGATGTAAATCGATAATCCGCGAAATCGAAACGATTCTGACATTTAGATGGAGTGGAGTGAAGGAGACGTTCATTTCGCTGTCTCTGTTTCCCTTACTTAGTGCCTTAGTGTTCATGGTTTCTCACGTGCTATGACGCCTTCTTGCCTCTCACTCCACTGTAACATATTGGAACAGTATCACCGAAGTGAATGGATCGGCGGATTCTTGACCCTTTGCTGTTGGAAGCCAAGGCCTCAAGTCACGTTCAAAATCAGCACCAGAATCGGTCCCTGGGCCTGGGGGCCCTGAGCCGTTCCCTGGCGCCTCTGAAAACAGTGCAAAACTATAAACTTCAAACTACTGCAACAGGAGGCAACATGAAGTGCGAGCATGCTCAAAAGCACTCCCTGTATCTTCCTGTAGGATCCTACAATGTCCTACAAGTTTCTCCTGTGTCGCAGGCAACACGAATCTAATTAGGAGCATTGGAGGGTCAAGCTATCTAATTACAAAATAGATAGTCAAAATCTACCCTTGCAAGATCTTGCAAGGAACTTTGCAGAAAGTGCCTGGCCTGTGAGGGAGCAAACCTGTGAACCACAACCACTCACATCTCGCGCTGCACGTCTTTCTTGCGGCCCACAAACATTCCCTGAATGATCTTGCCTTCTTGAGCCAGTTTGGCCATGAACTCAAAGTCAGAGATCAATTTCTCATAGGCCGCTTCATCCCATCCCAACAATTTCTTGGCATCGTACAGTGCTTGCCGCTTTAGCATGTGCACATAGCTGTCCATGGCAGGTGAGAAGCGACCACTGTTCTCTGCGATCTCAACCTCAAAGTCTGCCTTCTTCAGCATTTGCGCATACTCCTCCACAGTGGGGATGGCAGGGAATGTCATCAGGCTCAAGAATCTCTGCGCCTCAGGGTCTGATAGACCTTCACCCTCGATCCAGTCGGTAAACATGACTTTCCCTCCGGGCTTTACGATGCGAGCTGCTTGGTCAATGATTTGTTGTTTGTCAGGCATGTAGCACCAAGCATCCTTGCTGTACACAAAATCGGCAGAGGCATCCTTGCTGCTGTGATGTCTCAAGGGGTTTGGTGGCCATTGAGGACCAACAAAATTCAGCACAGCGACAGTTTCTGGCTTGGGGCTTGGGTCCTTTCTCTCAAGGAATATTCTTAGTCAGTTTGCAACATCTTCCAAAAGTTGACTGTCTTTCAAACCCAGAACAAGTAGATTAATATACAAGACTCAGACTTTGCTTTGCAGAAGACTATGCCGAAAAAAAAAAACTGCAGAGGAGTCTAGGAGTTGAAAGAATATAGCGAACACATCCCAATCCCAGGCAGCCAATCTGGACAAGGATCCGGGAACCCATTCTCCAAAGAGTTCTTGTTGATGAACTTGATCTTGTCACTGAGCCCCTCCTCCTCTGTCCTCTTCCTGCCAGTCTCCACCACGGACTTAGTGAGTTCCACTCCGATCATGGAGTCCACTCCTGCGAGGCGGACCAAGGCGCGCATGCCTCCACCATTGTTGCTGTTCAGCTCAACTCCCTTCATCCCTGGCCCCACATGAGCCCTCTGAGCCAGCTCCAAGGTGGAAGATGCTCCGCCAATGTCAATCTGCTTCCCCATGACCAGTTCCCAAACACTCTGTTCTGGACCACTGTAGCACTTGGCAACGGCATCCGCGTTGGCTGCATCTTGGTCGGACAGAGTCTTCATAGCATAGGAACTGCACCAAAGTGTCGACAACACGGCGAGCTGCACGAACACCATGGCTACGAGCAGAGGACACACACCAAGCAGGGCAAGTCACGTCAAAAGTGCAAGACAAAGCAAGTCTTTCCAGCCAAACTGCAAGGCACATCAACACAACATCGCACAACGAAGCGCAGCAAAAGCCATCAAAGGTCACAAAAGCAAGCCCTAAGTAAAATGACCGCTATCCGTTTCCTATCATACTGCTTGTATCCCGGTATCCCCATTATGGCTTAGTTAATAACATATAGTAAGTATAACCCCCCTTATGGAGGTTTCCTGACCTAAATCATCCCTTTAAAAAGAAAATAGTATGTTCCATTGTAAACCATCATCCATTTTTTAAGTCATGGGGGTACCCCTAAACCTAAACCATCATCCATTTTTTCCTTAATTAACCCGCCAGCAGCCGGAGACATCACGTCCCTCACGTCCCTCACGTCCCTCACGTCCCTCACGTCCCTCACGTCCCTCACGTCCCTGACGTCCCTGACGTCCCTGACGTCCCTGACGTCTCCGTCTCACGTCCCTGACGTCCCCGACGTCCCCGACGTTCCTCACGTCCCTCGCGTCCCTCACGTCCCCCACGTCCCCCACGTCCCTCACGTCCCTGGTCTGACGTCCCTGACGTCCCTGATGTCCCCGACGTCCCCGACGTCCCTCACGTCCCTCGCGTCCCTCACGTCCCCCACATCCCCCACGTCCCTCACGTCCCTGCGGTCTGACGTCCCTGACGTCCCTGACGTCCCCGACGTCCCTCACGTCGGTCGGGAGTTCGCTTGGAGCGCCGAAAAGTGACATAAGATTGCAAGTTACTTGACGAAGATGTTACAACATACCAGGAACGTCTTGCAAGTTACTTGAAGAAGATGTTACAACATACCAGGAAAGTCTTGCAAGTTACTTGACGAAGATGTTACAACATACCAGGAACGTCTTGCAAGTTACTTGACGAAGATGTTACAACATACCAGGAACGTCTTGCAAGTTACTTGACGAAGATGTTACAACATACCAGGAACATCTTGCAAGTTTCTTGACGAAGATGTTACAACATACCAGGAACGTCTTGCAAGTTACTTGACGAAGATGTTACAACATACCAGGAACGTCTTGCAAGTTACTTGACGAAGATGTTACAACATACCAGGAACGTCTTGCAAGTTACTTGACGAAGATGTTACAACATACCAGGAACGTCTTGCAAGTTACTTGACGAAGATGTTACAACATACCAGGAACGTCTTGCAAGTTACTCGAAGAAGATGTTACAACATACCAGGAACGTCTTGCAAGTTACTTGAAGAAGATGTTACAACATACCAGGAACGTCTTGCAAGTTACTTGACGAAGATGTTACAACATACCAGGAACGTCTTGCAAGTTACTTGACGAAGATGTTACAACATACCAGGAACGTCTTGCAAGTTACTTGACGAAGATGTTACAACATACCAGGAACGTCTTGCAAGTTACTTGACGAAGATGTTACAACATACCAGGAACGTCTTGCAAGTTACTTGAAGAAGATGTTACAACATACCAGGAACGTCTTGCAAGTTACTTGACGAAGATGTTACAACATACCAGGAACGTCTTGCAAGTTACTTGACGAAGATGTTACAACATACCAGGAACGTCTTGCAAGTTACTTGACGAAGATGTTACAACATACCAGGAACGTCTTGCAAGTTACTTGAAGAAGATGTTACAACATACCAGGAACGTCTTGCAAGTTACTTGACGAAGATGTTACAACATACCAGGAACGTCTTGCAAGTTACTTGACGAAGATGTTACAACATACCAGGAACGTCTTGCAAGTTACTTGACGAAGATGTTACAACATACCAGGAACGTCTTGCAAGTTACTTGACGAAGATGTTACAACATACCAGGAACGTCTTGCAAGTTACTTGACGAAGATGTTACAACATACCAGGAACGTCTTGCAAGTTACTTGACGAAGATGTTACAACATACCAGGAACGTCTTGCAAGTTACTTGACGAAGATGTTACAACATACCAGGAACGTCTTGCAAGTTACTTGACGAAGATGTTACAACATACCAGGAACGTCTTGCAAGTTACTTGACGAAGATGTTACAACATACCAGGAACGTCTTGCAAGTTACTTGACGAAGATGTTACAACATACCAGGAACGTCTTGCAAGTTACTTGACGAAGATGTTACAACATACCAGGAACGTCTTGCAAGTTACTTGACGAAGATGTTACAACATACCAGGAACATCTTGCAAGTTACTTGACGAAGATGTTACAACATACCAGGAACATCTTGCAAGTTACTTGACGAAGATGTTACAACATACCAGGAACATCTTGCAAGTTACTTGACGAAGATGTTACAACATACCAGGAACGTCTTGCAAGTTACTTGAAGAAGATGTTACAACATACCAGGAACGTCTTGCAAGCTACTTGAAGAAGATGTTACAACATACCAGGAACATCTTGCAAGTTACTTGACGAAGATGTTACAACATAGCAGGAACATCTTGCAAGTTACTTGACGAAGATTTTACAACATACCAGAAAAGTCTTGCAAGTTACTTGACGAAGATGTTACAACATACCAGGAACGTCTTGCAAGTTACTTGACGAAGATGTTACAACATACCAGGAACGTCTTGCAAGTTACTTGAAGAAGATGTTACAACATAACAGGAACGTCTTGCAAGTTACTTGAAGAAGATGTTTGTTACAACATACCAGGAACGTCTTGCAAGTTACTTGACGAAGATGTTACAACATACCAGGAACGTCTTGCAAGTTACTTGAAGAAGATGTTACAAGATACCAGGAACGTCTTGCAAGTTACTTGAAGAAGATGTTACAACGTACCAGGAACCTCTTGCAAGCTAATTGAAGAAGATGTTACAACGTACAAGGAACCTCTTGCAAGCTAATTGAAGAAGATGTTACAACGTATCACGTATCAGGAACGGCTTGCAAGTTACTTGAAGAAGCGTGTACAACGTATCAGGAACATCTGACAAGCTACTTGGAACAAGATGAATGTGGCAAGGTAGCAGGATCGTCTTGCATGTTACTTGAAGAAGCTGTTCCAATGTATCACGTATCAGGAACGCCTTGCAAGTTACTTGAAGAAGATGTTACAACGTATCACGTATCAGGAACGTCTTGCAAGTTACTTGACGAAGATGTTACAACGTATCAGGAACGTCTTGCAAGTTACTTGAAGAGAGTTTAAAATGTATCAGGAACGACTTGCAAGTTACTTTCAGAAGATGTTACAACGTAGGTTCTGGGGTGGGCCGTTTCGTTCCAGAC